ATATATATATATATATATATACACATACATAAGTGTAATAATTTAAATGCATATCTCAAGAGCCCAAATGATGTTTACTGTTTTCCCAACTTACCTTGTTTTGGGAACTTATAACACCCTCTGGTTTATGCCATGGGTTAAGAGTATTTGAGCCAAAGCCTATTGTTTTCTCAATATGATCTGCATATACAGGCCCTGATACACCTAGGCAGTAAGATGTTCCTGACCTCAGGCATGCATTCTGCTTCATCATTTATGTGACACTGGTTGCTATTTCTGAAAATATGTACTCAGTGAAGTAATAATCCTTCCAAACCAAACCCAAACTCACTGCCATCGAGTTGGATCCAACTAATTTAGTGACCCCTCCTTGGGTTTCTGAGGAAGTATCACTATGGAAGTAGACTGCCCAACCTTCCTTCTGAGGAGTGGCTGGTGGGTTTGAACCGCCAACCTTCTGGTTAGTAGTCAAATGCTTTATGCATTATGCCTCTGTCCTCAATTCAAGATGGTATCTCTGGAAAAGTATACATATATCTATAAAAAGTTGGGTCAGTTAAAATTTTTGATAAATATTAAATAATAATAATAATGGAAAAATCATTCGTTATCCAGATGACAATGTCATGATGAATTATTCCCAGATACTGCCTAAGAGAGATATATTTTCAGATAGGAAAGAGATATTTGAGGCCCAATTTGGAAATATGTCATAGATAAGCCTAGAGTTGAGAATAACATGTACAAATGTGTGGAGATTTAGTGATAAAGGGAGAGGAAAGAGTCAATTCTCATGACTAAGAGACACAGACATTTTCTGTCTACAAGTATCTATCAAGGTTTAGTCACATCCTAGACATGGGAGGAGAGGAAGGGGACCTGGTGATATGGTCAATTGAAGAGCCAATATCTATGACTCAAATGACAGATTTTCAATTTAATCAAGAAATATATTTCTATGAGCTGAAGAAATGGTATGAAATGCTAGAATTACAGATATTATGACTCAATATAAGTCACTGCTCTTAATATAGATAGCCCCTGTCCCCTGGACTTTATCACACTGACAATCAAAGTGGCCTCTGACAGTTGCATATACTCTTAGTCACAGAAAGAAGGTATTTTGCAGAACTCCTGGGATTTAGGGAAACATGGAGAAAATAAACTTGAAAACTAATGTTTAGAGGACTTTCCATGTTAATAAATGATTGGTATCTGATCAGCCCAAGGGACTGTTTTCTATTTTTGTTTTTGTGCTTTCACTCAATTTGGCTGTGTCTATATGGAATTGCTTTTTTATTTTCATAGCTTCTAGCTCCATGCTCCGTGAATGTGAAGATCAAGTAAGTTTTATTTGCTAATGCCACATAATTGATCTTTAACGAAATAGAAACTGTTGATTAAAATGAATGAGATTTAAACTGACAGCGTGCTGCTATGTGTCTTTGTATTCTTCTTTCTGTGTCTCTGACTATGCATACCCACTGAGTGTCTCTGTTATAATGCATTGTAATGCCTTCTAAACGATACCGTGTCCTGGAATATGAGACTAATAAAAAGGGGACCAGGATAACAGTATGCAATGTCTGCAAATGTATACAATTGATCAATATCCCCAAAGTTTCTCCTTTCTCTTCTTGCCCTCCTGCTTTGTCTTACAGAGATGGGATGGAAGGATCAGAGAAAGCCCTCAGGAGGGGAAAGAAAAGACTGAGAAGTTCCATGTCTTCTGATTCATTGAGCTGAATCTTATGAAATAGAAAAGAGGTCTGAGATCATAATGGCCCCAGCTGAATGTCTCAAGAATAGGAATAATATGGGCTATATTGGGAGAAAATTTTCCTAATAGATAAGCTGTAATGTCCTACTCAACTCTTCACATCCATCTATGCCTCACTTTAGAAATAATGTCCTGTGAGTTCTCCAAAAGGCCATTCTCCTATCCTCCACTCTATTTTCCTGCCTATTTTGATGTAATGCTTAAAATTAACCACCTTCTTGGTGACAAGGCTAAAGGCCAAACCAGTATACAGGAAGAAACCCTGGGGGACTGCCATGAAGCCTGGGAGAAGCAAGAGGGAGGAAGGAGCAGAAATAACCCTTGAGGAGGAGCTTCTGAAACAAATGCCCACTTTTTTTTTTTTTTTTTTTTTTTCACTTCTGGGTATTCTTTAAAGAAGTGATGTTGGAACCAAGGTTTTGGCCAGGTGCAGAGTTCCAGTGTCACATTCATGGCACCAACAAGAAAAAGAAGACTGAGAAGCACATCAGTGAGTTGCTCCACTGTGCCTTGTCCTGGAAGTGTCAGTATAGACAATAGGTACAGCAGGGAAGAAGGGCTTTGGAGGGCTGATTTATCATAATTCAAGGACAAGAAAGGCAGTAAAGGTCATTCAAGAGGTGATGGAGAGCAAGAAGAAGTTTCAAAAGTTCCCCAAAATCTTCAGGATTTGGTTTCTGAAAAATTTCTTCCTGCTGATTCTTGGATGTAGACAAAAATCTAAATTTGTCTCACTTTCTCCACTAGGAGAACATATTTTGGGAAGAATAAGGTTGAATGCTCATAGGGATAGAGAAAGGTATTTCATGGATAGTTCATGACTCTGGGGTGGATTATCTTTCCTTTGTTTTCTTAAGCTGTTTGATCATACTTCCACTCTGCCCCATACGTTCCCCCAGGCATTTGTTGAGAAAAGGAGAAAATGTAATGACATATACCAAGAGGGAAAAAAAAAAAAAAAAAAAAAAACTTGCAGATAGGCTGGACTCAGATTAAGATAGAGGCAGACTTTGAGGAATTTGACATTAGAGACTATGTTAAAATTAATGCATGTTCCTAGAAGCAAGCACATTATACAGCAGGTAATAAGTGCAAAATAGGAGCTCTGGTAGCATAGTGGCTAAAGCACTTGACTGCTAACCAGAAGGCTGGCGGTTCAAACCCACCAGCCACTCCTCGGAAGGAAGGTTGGGCAATCCTACTTCCGTAGTGATACTGCCTCGGAAACCCAAGGAGGGGTCGCTATGAGTCGGGGCCGACTCGACGGCACATAACAACAACAACAACAACAATAAGTGCAAATACTGCTAACTTGAACACAGGAAAGAACTTCATTCCCTTCTCTGTGTTCAGGTCTACCAAAACACCAAAACCAGACTCAATGCCGTTGAGTTGGATACGACTCATAGCAACCACTCTTTGGTTTCGAGGCAGTATTACTGCCGGAGTAGATTCCAGGGAGTGGCTGGTGGGTTTGAACCACTAGGCTTCTGATTGGCAGTCAAATGCCTTAGGCACTATGCCACCAGAGCTCTCCCTATTGAGGTCTAAGTCCTACATATTTTGAGAATTTCAAACACTGCTGGGACAGTGAGTGATTGTGAATGTGGTGTTGGACTGGGGTTTGTGGGGGAAATTGTAGGTCACAATTTTCACCAACAGGGAATGCTACCCAAATGAAAATACAGCTGGGTATTTCAGACTGAAGGCCATTCACAGACAATATTCACTAGTAAGACGATCAGGAATTTAGGGAAACTCTTGGCCATTTGGTCAATTCATTGATTTAGAAAAATATAATCATTATATAATGGGTCTTATAATAAGAATGTGGCGATTAAATCCAGTCTACAGGATATCATGTATCAGTAAAGTTGATTGTTAAGTAAGTATCTTGGTAATGTCTCCCATGAAAAGACACTAAAAGAAGAAGAAGGCTGAGGGTGTCTTCTTAAACTCTCCAATTTTTGGATCACACTTCAGGGAAGTAATTGTTTATTAATACAAGATTTCAAAGGGTCCCCAAAGATGTATGTCTATGAGCTAGTGGCTACAATTTTCAAAGTCATGAGATAATAGTCTTAGAAGTATGGGTCTTCCCTTAAAATGATGGCATTGAGTACATGGCTATAATCACCAATTAATTGTTTCTTCAGCAATCCACCTTCACACACATATCATCATCACTCAGCTACACAAAGTAGGTAATTGCTTTGATTGAAAAAGCACTGATAAACTGATAAAGTATTGTAAACACAGAAAGAGAATATAAGGTTGGTCTTACATAATCTACTGAGAAGACTTTAATTTCTAGAATCTTCTTAAAGAGGTGGAAGAATAGGACTTTGCACATTTTGACTTTGTGAGAGCCTTTTTAAAACAAGGTTTTTAGGGGCATTATATTTTGAAAACCATTATGATTTTTAACAACAGACCATTGTTGTATGATAGAAAGTAAATATGATTCCTAGCTTTGCTTTCCCTTTCTGGCCCCACAAAGCTGCCCCAGCATGGTAAGGCAAATAGTACTGACTGGAGTTGTGCAAATATACAACCCAAGCTACATCTGCCAAAGCAAAGTAGTTTTTA